AACTACAATCTAACTTTGAATTAGTATGCAAATGCCTAGCACTAAGATTGGCCTTTATTTAATGAAAGGTACGTATGTAGTATGCCGAGCTGCTTAAACTACACATTCTCAAATAACAAGAGGGCTAAACCTCTGGCCTTAAAGGCAACCAGCAATAGAGTGAAAACTCGTAAAAGTACAGTGGCAAGCGGCTTGCTTCCTATAATTTCTTCCTCTCTCTCTTGGCAAAAAGCCACAACTTAAGTACTTGGCATTAGCAAGACAATTTGCATAAACAAGTTAAAGCGTTTAATTCTGGCCGGAAGTAGAAAATGAGAAGTGATAGTACAGTGCTAAAATAAAATAAACATTAGTAAAACTTAGCATCCTTACAGGCTAACTGCATGGCTGTTTTAGTGGTTTTCCGATGTGTAATGTGTATACGAGATAGTTTTCCTTAGAAAGTTCACTACAGAGGCAACCCTCCCTTTAGGCAGATAGCCATAGTCTCCCTTGTCATAATCTACCAAACCAAACCAAATTTATGTTTAGAAATGTAAAAAAGTGTGAAGAAGCAAACAGGAAGCATGATTTATATATAATAAATTTCATGAGTTATTGATATTTTTTTAAATGCATTTGTAATGCTTATAAAAACAAAAATGGTATTTTTTGTTTATTCTTTGAATTTAATGCTTTGTATATATATATATTTTGTTCTGTATAATATAATTTTTCTAGCATCATTTTGTTTAGGTATAAGGTTGCCAGATGTCCTAGTGTTTGATGAAAGCGTTCACTGTCCTAAAGCAATATTTACTGGGTGTTAATTGGTCTAGGTTTTCTTTTCTGAAAGATTTTTAGTATAAAAAATTGTTTTCTTTCCAAATTTTGCAATTTTGGGGAACAACTTAGTTCATGTCGTTGTTTGTCAGTCAAAAAAAGTGGCAACCATACTCAGGAGCTGTGGCATTATCTGGAAATTTTTCTTTTTTCTTCAACAGTGTGGTCCTTTTTTGTCACAGTTGGTGGTTTGGCTTTGTGTGGTACTTTCAAGACATTAATCTAATTACAATTTTATGATAATTTTGTTTCAGGCTGTTTGACCATTTTCTCAATCATTCAACTTATACAAGAATTTGGTTGAATTGTCTTGTTTTCTTGAAGTATATTTGTGAATCAAATATCATATTAGAGGAAATTATTGCTTATTGTGCACTAATTTCAAGTGTGCCCTTCAAAGTTTGAATATAGTAATGTTTCACACAGCACAAAAATGTACTTGAAATATTCCAAGAAAATTCCCAGATATTTTGATCATATATTAAAATATTATTGGATTATTTTAAAGTCCACCTATTTTCATATGAAATAAATATTTCCAGAAATACCCAAGGGATATTCCTAACATGCTCTAGGGATATTCCAGAATTTAGGATATAAACAGAAAGCAAATCTATTACTTTGTTTATCTAAAGGTTTTCTTTGAACATTTATCCAAAAAATCATTTGCAACCCATTGTTTTTAAAGAGAAGAAGCTTTTTAAGTTTATACCAATACTGTTTTACAATATAGATGAATATCCCAGGAAAGTTTTAGGCATATTCCTTCTGGTAGACTAGAAGAGAATGTTCCCAATTGAAATACACTTGAAGCATTCTAGGACTATTTCTTTAAAATCATAAAATGTTCTACAGGGATATGCCTGAAATGTTCCTAATCATTTCTGGATATTCCAGAAATTTTATGGGAAGAAATGGAGTGAAAATGGATATCTGTAAGGCAGGAGTCGCCAAACTTTTTTGATCATCGCCCCCTATATAATTTTTTGAAATCTCCATAGACCCCCACAAAGGTAATTTTCAGGTAATTAAAATAAAACTATATATTAGTCTAAATATTTAATAAATCAGAAACAGTAAGTAAAGTAGCTACAGATTTTTTACTTCTTTAATGAGATGAGTGTGACTGGTGTTTTCTTGGTAAAGTTCGCTATATTGGTTTCGAAATTAGTCAATTTTAACTGTAAATCCCCTCGAAGCTCCACATTTAATTTATTTCTGTTTTTAGTTAAAATTGAATTAACGTGACTGAAACTGGCTTCAACCATATACGAACTTGGAAACGCCAGCATAAATGGCTGAGCCATTTCGTAAAGTTTCACATATTTTTGCTTTATATTTATATTAGTCCAAAATTTATGTATTGTCAAATTTTTAATAAGCATTTTTGCTTCAAGATCAGACAATAGTTCAGCAAGCTCATCTCGTATGTTGACGTTGACGTTATCAATTTGCGCCGAAAATGGCGCAATAATCCAATCAGGGATGTCGATGTTTTCCAAATCAACAAAGCGCAGTTTAAAATCGTCGCTTAATTTTTGAAGATGATTTTGTATATATTTTCCAAGTCTTCTTCTTTTATTTTTAATTGTTGAAGATTGAAAAAATACTTATAATCCTTACGTAGCATTGAAGATCTAAATAAATTTAATTTTACTTGAAGCCTAACAGTAATTGTCCGAGCTTGGATAATTGTTACATCTTTCCTTGCAGTTTTGTTTGAACATCATTAAATTTTCCAAATAAGTCTGCTAAATAAAAAATATGGTTCTTATTGTTTTTGGAGTTCATTGCTTAGAACAGGATTTATTTTGTTCAGAAAATTCTGTCGTGGAGTCAAATAAATTGACGAGCCGTTGCAAGCATACACCTCTAGACAACCATCTAACCTCATTGTGCAGAAGTAATTGGTTAAATAACTCATTGTTTTCCTCACAAAGTTTGGCAAATAATCTTGATTTAAGAGGTTGAGCTTTAATTTGATTAATAGATTTAATACAAAACTGTAAAGCTTCATGTAACTGAACTCAGATATTTTGCTACTAAGTTGTGTCTATGCAACACACAATGAATAGTACGAATGCCGGGCACTTTTTCTTTGAGGCATGTAGCAAAACCTCGGTAACGCCCTACTACCATAGAAGGTGCGCCATCTGTGGCTACTGCTATTATATTTTCAAAGCGGAATGTCATATTTAATTTAAATATTCTTGTAAACATCTAAATATTGTCACTCCCTTCCCATCGGTTTCAAGATATTTAGCAAATAAAATTCATCAATGACTTCTCCTTTAATTTTACTGAAATATCTTAACATATGCTATAAGAATAGCAGAAACGCCAAAAACAGATTCATCAAGTTGTATAGAGAACTTGCAATTGTTTAGCTTCGAAACTTCTGTGTTTTCTATTTCTTCGGCCATTTCGTCAATACGCCATTTTACAGAATTTGCACTTAATGGCAAAGACTTTAAAACATTAGTAGAGTCTTTTTTCATAACATTCTCAATGACGTCTTTAATTGCAGGTACTACAATTTTTTTTCTGCGATTGTGTGGGGTTTTCACCCTCTTTGCTATATTAAGCGAAATCTTGTACGAAGCAAATTAATCCTCCTTCATTTTCAGTTTCAGTAGACTGTTTGTTCAGTAGAATGTTTCATAAAACTTTTTAGAGTTGGTCGGCATGTGAATTTTTCTTTGAGTTTTTTGAAAAATTCTAATTCTTCACTTTTTTTTTTTTTTTTTTTTAATCTGAATGGAAGCATTTCAAGATGATCTTTCATTTTTGACGGTTTCATGTATTAATTTCCAAAATTTTTTTCGCATATAAGACACATAGGAATAGTTTCATTTGTCGGTGAACAAATAAATCCAAATTTTAAGTAATCCAATGAATAATACCGACATTTCTTTTTAGGTACTGAAGCTGTCAATTTTAAATTAGTGTTCTGTAAGTAAGTTAAAACTAAGTTGGTATATTATACTAATCCACATTATTAAAGCTTACCTTTTCACAAGTAACAATAATTAAAATTGATATCAAAACTAAACGAATAGTTTTATAGAAACAATAACTAATTATCCAATGGTAGATATAATAGTAGTAATAATGACACTACAAGCATTTTAATACTGTTCACAGTTCACAAAGATAAGATAGCTGAAAAAATGCATATGATATTTTGTTTTGTAGCACCCAGTGTAGAATTGGACAAGCGCACATATGCATCTGACTCATATGCAAGGCTGTATGGTTTGCGATGGAGACAAAGGGCGAACCAACGACACGATGCGTTAACTGCCGTATAAAAAAAAGAAAAAAAAACTACAAGAACTAAAAACCACACACATAAGAAGAAAGAAAACGGAAGTACTGAAGATTCCCTTTTCGCTTAATGCATAGAAAGCCAACGGCAGTGTCGTCGCTCGCCAAGTCTGTGCCAAAGGCTCCTAATTGGTTGATGGGTTCGCCAGCAAGAAGAGACACGGATAAGCCTCAATCACTCTTCTGGCTACATACTATGAGTCGTGCAAAATTACAAAACTGGTCACAAGGTCAAGTTGTGACGTCACGGTATACATACGAAAACCCATAAGGAAAAAAAAGGGGGCAGATTGTTTTCTGATTTATTATTTATTTTCTATAAAGAATATATATTAAGTCAATTATAAAAATATTTTAAATTTTTACGTACGCAGTTAGATATGTGTGATTCGCGTATTAAGAACTGTTTTTCCTTCGAGTCCCATTAGACCCCCATTCGACCCCTTGGGTCAGATAGACCCCTACTGTTGTTAAATAGACCACTTTGGCGACCCCTGCCGTAAGGTATTCTGTGCATTGTGGGACAAAAATGGAAAATTTACAGTGAGGAGAATTATTTTGTTACCTGTATTAACATAGGATTATCATACTATAAAATTCTTAAGTGCTTTATTTTAAATCAACTTTGGGATAAAGTTTATTTTTAAAATTTTATTTATTTATTTTTTTTTCCATTAATATACTTGCTGACAATAATAAGTTAGATGCCTGATTTGTTAGTCAGAAAATGTGGTAATCTTACTTTGAAACTCAACTTGGAAAGTATTATGATGTGTAAACAGTATATTTTTGCTTATTCTTATTTTACTTATAGGGATAATCTAAAATTTAATGGTATTTTCTTTTTTAAGGAATCAACACCAATGAAAGAGAAAGTGGTTATTTGTCCATCATGTAAGCATTGTTCACGCAATCCAAATGTCTGTGATTCTTGCAAGAATGAAATTACTGGTGCTGCTGTATATCAGTTAAATACAGATAGAGCTGAAAAAGTTGCTGTTCCATTTGTAGTTACAAAAAATTACGTAACAACAACTGAACAAATTTATTATCATGTCAAGAATCCCACTCAAGCTGCACTTCTATGTCAAAATCAAAGTTTCCATTTCCAGCAGTTAGTAGCTGTGCAAGGAAATGAAGCTGCTCCTGTTATCCGAGTTGGTGCTGCTAAGCCAAAAGCTCGCCCAAAAGCTAAACGTAGGTGTATTGAACCAGGTAAGATTGAATTTTTGTGTTTCTCCCTCCTTCAATATAAAGAAAAAGAAATAACACAATTTGTTGTGGGTAATTGATGTATAATGGATTTACAAAAGTTGTGTTAACTGGAAATAAAAGCAGCTTGACACTCTGCTGTTATTTCTGGAACCTTTAGTCACAGCATAACTTTCAAATACAAAATTATTTCAAATGATGCAAATTCACATGTTTTGACATGAATTTATATGGTATGCAAAAACATGAATATTTGCAGTATTTATATTATTTTTGTGTTTGGAAGTGTATGGCTGTGACCAAGGATTATGAAAATAAAGGCTGTGTGTGGACCCCTGTTCTCTAGATTTATAACTCGCTTATATCGCTGAATAACAGAACGTTTCTCGGCTTGTCTCTGTTATGCTTGTGTTGTTTCTTAGCACAAGGTAATTCCAAAGTAGAAGTTGGAAGTTCTTCGAAGAAAAAAATGCCTAATATGATAGATGATGTAAATTCAAGCACAGTATTATTCTATATTTGGTTGATAATGCGAAGCTACGTATGGTCTTTGCCGTTTTGTGTAGTATAGTCTAAGTTCTTATATGTTAACATTATTGCTAATGGGGGGGATAAATCAGAAGTATGAAGTGTTACAAAGATTTCTTCTAAAGAACAGTTATGATACTAATTCACAAGTCAAACAACAAAAATCAGCGTTAATTTTCAAAATTTTCACAGGACTAGTTTCGATGGTTTTACCGAACCACCATCCTCAGCTGCAAAACCGCAAATGAAGCGTATAAAACCATCGAAACCAGTCCTGTGAAAATTTTGAAAATTAATGCTGATTTTTGTTGTTTGACTTGTGAATTAGTACTTATTCGGCGTGTTATTGTGTCTTAATAACAGTTATGATATTTTTGAAAAATTCTGTATGGTTTGTTTGTATAACTTGCATCATTTCAGAGAAACTGGATTCTTCACTTTTCCCCCCTCTATCCCCCTATTTATTTCTTTTGACTGTGCTATGGTAATTTCTACATGTATAGGTGTTCTTTTCCTTCCTTTTATGAAATTAGTAAATAAGTATTTTCATAGAGTTGTAAATGTCTCTAGTATTGCAAAAGTAGGCTTCACTCTTTTACCATTCTTTATATTTATATGAATGTAATACATAATTATGTTGCACTTGCGAAGTCCGTGCTGGTAGTATAACTGATTGACCACTTTTATTCAGTAATGGCATTGTGATAACAATTACTACCATTATGCTTGCATTTTTTTTAATAGTGGTGTCTTTTTTGAGAGCATTCATAGTTAGCACAATTTAGTGTTAAAAATGTAAGTAAAATATACATTATTATTTCATTTTTTAATGCCAAAGTAATCGTGTTGTTCTAGATCAGTTCGTAATCGATTTTGCTCCATGTACATCTTTCACCATTGCTAGATCATCCTCCCTTCCGATTTCCAAAACTTGAAAAATGCATATATACAATGGTGACCAAAATTGTGGACACTTTTGGAAATTTTTATGTTTTTGAACTTTTGTATGCTTATAGAAAATGTTACGTTTCGCAAAATGCAAACTTGTATATATCATTTTAAAGAGAATTTATTACTGAATTTAATACAAAACACAAAATTCAATTATTTCTAATACAAAAAAAGTTATATGTACTTTAATAAAAAAAAAAAAACACAGTTATGAAGTAGTTTGTAATGTCTAGCTTTCCTGGCCAATCACTGTTTCTTGTTCTGAGAACCAATCAAATGTTAGTAACTGCCAGTAGAAGCTGACATCATGTTTACACTTGAAAGAATTCATTATTTTGCTTTGTTCTGTAGAAGGAGGACCTGTTTCTTATACACTGCAATTACAAGTAGGAATCTTTGTAAAAGTTTTTAATATTTAGTCAAGAAGCAATGATATCAAATAAAAGAGTAGATTGGACACCTAGAAAGAGATGTAATATTATTGTGTTACGAGAAAGTGGTCTTTCCTATGCTGAAATTGCAAGACGGGTGGTTCAGTGACTACATCTGGAGTCTGAAAGTTTTGTTTACGATATCAGGAGACAAATTCAATAAAAAACAAAGAAGAAAAAGGCCGAAAAAGGTGCACCACATCTATTGATGACAGAAGAAGAAAACGACTATGTCTCCAAGATAGAAAATGTCATCAGCGGCCATCAGAAGTGATCTGAATGATGCTGGTGTTTCTGTCAGTTCAAGAAACAATCAGGAGAAGATTACAGATGTTGGACTGAGAGGTAGAATTCCCGAAAAAAAAAAAAAAAAAAAAAAAAAAAAAAAAAAAAAAAAAAAAAAAAAACTTAAAAAAAAAAAAAAAAAAAACCTTATCTTAATTTTCAGCAATGAAAAAAAGACTACAGTGGGCAAAGGAACACATTAATTGGACAGATGATCAGTGGTCACGAGTTATATGGAGTGATGAAACTACGATATCGTTATTCTGTAGTGATGGGTGAAAATATGTAAGACGTAGAATAGGAGAAGAGCTACATTCTGACTGCATTCAAGCAACTGTGAAGAACCCAATTAGTGTTATGATTTGGTCATGCATGTCAGCAGATGGTATTGGTTGCCTTCATGATGGGACACTGAATGCCAGAAAATACCTTGACACTATTCTAGAACCAAAACTTCTGCCTTCCATCAGAGATCTCTTTCCCAACAATGCTTCGTTTATTTTTCAGCAGGATTCTGCTCCTTGCCACACGTCCAAAATATCGAAAGAGTGGTTTCGTACAAAGAGCATTAAATTGTTGTCATGGCCAGGAAACAGTCCTGACCTCGATCCTATCGAAAATTGTGGGACCGTTTGAAAACTCTTGTCCGAATGAGGCGCCCATCAAATAAAAGGGAACTAATTGAGGCTATAATTGTTTCCTGTCATCATGCAATAACGAAAGAAGAGCTTAAAACTTTTGTCAGCTCAATGAAACGTCGATGTGAAGCTGTAATCAGAAATAAAGTGTACCGTACTAAGTACTGAATCATCATCACTGTACTGAATCATCACTGCAATCATCACTATCTAATGTATATCGATAACTATTATCGTTTAACTTTTTTTGTATTGCAAATAATTGAATTTGGTGTTTTGTATTGAATTCAGTAATAAATTCTCTTTAAAATGATATATACAAGTTTGCATTTTGTGAAACGTAACGTTTTCTATAAGCATACAAAGTTCAAAAACATAAAAATTTCCAAAAGTGTCCACAATTTTGGCCACCACTGTATGTTTCTTTAGGTTAGACAATTTTTTAACATGCTTTCTAAATTAAGCAACAAAGTATAGAAAATTTCAATAAATACAAAAATAAATTTTTTTTTTTTTTTTTTTTTATATATTTATAAAATGAAACTAAATAGGGTATGCTTATCAGGACCAAATTCAGAAATGTAGTTATGTATGCATATTTATATGAATGTGTTAAACGTGTGTTGTGTGCACGTATATATGCATGTGTGTGTATATATCAGCCTATTCATATACACACACATGCATACATACCTACATTTTTTAATCTGGTTCCGATGACAAAAAGAGTACCCTAAATACTTAATAACTAAATTGAGATTGGCCAGTCTCAAGCATACCACTGGCTTTTCCCCTCAATCTTCATGTAAACAATTGCAATTACTCATTTAAACTGAAGTTGTCAATCATCCTTGTGGTTTTTCTTAGGAGAAATGTAATTCTGTAGAAATTTCCCAGATTCAAAAAACAATCCTTTTTATGTTGCTTTTCAACAACTACTAGATACTTACATTACGTTTATTGTTGTACAAATGAAATATGACACTAAAATATTAATGGGAGATACTTTGAATTATGACAGTATGTTTATAACTTTATTTGGGACATCATAGTAATCACTTAAAAAATCACAAGTGTTTTAAATTTTACTACAGTAAAACCTGACTATACAGCATTCAACTAAGTAGAAAGTTTAAGTAACCGAAACATTTTAGAATTTTAAAAGAAAAAAAATTTTTTTTTCCTTCTAAAAATTAAATAAGAGATTCGTTATGCCATTCATTATAAAGCTCATTATACTATTAACATGCATACATTGTTACCAAGCAATGTGATGTAATGTCGTCACTGATTGTTAAGCATGATGTTACAATATGCTCATAAGAACTTCACCTTGGTTTTACAATAAACCCGATTAATTCTGAATAAGCTAGTTTAATTTTTCTAAAGGGTATAAATTGTTGGTACTTTTCCATTTTGCCGCCACAAATGATAAAGTTGCCAATAATGATACAACTGATGCCAAAAGGAATATCTTCGCTGGTAACCTTTTACCCTTCATTTTCGAAACAAGTCACAGCCACTTTCTATTAGATTGATTGTTTCTTTCAATACTGGCATACAAATTCATAGAATTTTTACTAGTTGAATTTTAAGCCCAAGACCATTTGCAGTAATTAATTAGGATGCAATCACATCACTCACTCGAAGGTGAAAATATAGAAAAGTCAAAATCAAGGGTTAAATTCATCAAATCTAATGAGAATGCACTAGCAAAGTGCACTGTGGTTTTACATAATTTTTTACATAATTTCTGAACAAGCTATTCGTACGAATTGAAATAATTCTTACATTTAAACTTGTATTCCATAAGATTTAATTTAAGATTTAACTTGAAATTAATGCAGATAATTACTGAGAGAATAAGATTTTTGTAGCGTAGTTTACGTGAGATAAGATCACTTAGGGTCACGTGATTCGAACCGGCGTAGAACCATGAAAGCATAATAAATTCTTAAATTAATGTATTTTTACAAATTTATTGGCTTTTTACAAAATTTTAAACCATATTAAAATGTTTATGCCTCCAAAATAAAAAGTTCTTAGAACTAACATTTGTTAACATTTTTTATGTGTATACTGTTGCCAACAAAGTCTACTTGCCGAGATTTGCGCCGGTGAAACGGAAAAGTACCAAATTGTTTTTTTCTTTGCATTTTGAAAAAATTAT